TTCAAATTTAGGGCGTATACAAAGGAAACAGTTTTTTGGATATTAAATACTTAGCCGGGATAGATGTCGAAGTCTATGGGTTTGTTTTTCAACCATATTCTACATTAAAAATCCGAACGCAAAGCTATTGTACTTAATAGATGATCTCTATTATTCGTAATAAACAACATATATATTTCATAATAACGGGCTAAACAAATTCAACACAACCAAATTGATGTACCCCAAGTGTGTATTTACGCGAAACGTGGTCGACGCGACGCGATGGGGTCAATTTCTTCTGTTAGTAATCCTACTTACTTTTCAACTCAAACAATAAGTACTTGAAAGTCATTTTAATAGTAAGCCGTGACTACGGCGACACGAAAAAGTGTGACCAATAATAAAAATAGCGTAACTGGCGGAGCGATAATGGTAGCTGCGTACGTAATGGCAAAGCACCATAAAGCAACGCAAGCCACCGGCGGCGCGGCGGACTGGAGGGGAGAAGCCATAGCGTTTTTCCCGATACAGAAGTGAAAATCTGCGCACACAATAACAATCGTTTGTTACTACACAACTTACACGATACAATTGATACAATAAAGAAACAATTTCACTCACACACATGGATACATTATAATCGTATCAATCGGTGACAGTGACAACTCGGATTCGGAGTAGAATCAGTCGCTCGAGCGATCGACATAGTGTATAAGAACCAGTGGCCTGTGTTGGTAAACAAATCCGAAACAACACTGGCGTTATTATTGTAATTATTATGTTTTAAAAGAAGTTAAAAAACAATAATGTGATTAAAAATAACTTATATTATAAGGTAACTCGATTCTTTTGTAAGTTTAACGTGAGAGATCTCTTTTTGAACATTTTGGATTTTTTTTAGGACGTTGATTTAGCCGATCAACTAGATTTATTATAGTGAGCAGTGCAGATCATGAAGTTATATAACTTCGTGGTGCGGCTGCAACTAGTTTTACTGTGACCTTATTTTACACCAGCGTAATACGTATGATAGCGACTTCTCTCCAAACCGCCGGTAGCCCATGTTGCTCTATGCAATCCGCACGCATTCTCAAAAAGATTAAGGTTATATTAATTAGGTACTCATTAACATAATACCGTAGATATTTCTACCTATTAAAACATACATCCCTTATGTTAGGCTCTCTGTACCTATTAAGAATTAAGATAGGGAATTATATTACTGACATCGTATCATGTTGAAACAGTGGTGGTGGTGGTGGTGGTGTAGGAGTGAGCGATACAAAACTTATATAGTTATTGAATCTATATATTGCTTCAATATCGTATATCCGATATCGGCCTAACCAAAAACTATATATCGGGTGAAACACTATATTGCTTGTGCCCGACAGCCGATCGCGATTTGCAACGATATTGTATCGCAGTGGTATCAAAACCCAAAGTCAAACCGTATATACAGTATCACTATTGAATACTGAGCAGACTTGATCTCCGCCGAAAATCCACATTAGATACCAAAGTAGTGAATGAGTGCGCCATTGATGAAACTGAAATAGCTACACAATACATACGATTCTAAACCTTAACTCCAATATTATACAGCCTGTTTGTTTTATAAAATTTCAACTTTTGACCTTAATTTAAGGATAGTAATGATTGCGATGCAACTTGTATGTTATGTCACTCTAAGTGACATGTAGGGATACACTATATACTGTACGTACGTAGAGTGTGAGTCAGTATCCACTTTATCAAAAATCGTCGCAAAACCGATATCGAAATAACTGCATATACGGCTTAATATCGTCAATATATAGTTTCAGAAAATATAGTGTTTCGAAATCCGATATCAAATATCAATATATAGTTTCGATATGATATTCAGACATTACGAAATTACCATGGAGTATAAAGGTAAGGAAGACAATCACCTATGCGTATTTCCCATTACGTGTCCAACTGACTTCACCGGTTTCGCGAAATCCACACGCTTTTGTATTACTACACTAATTCAACCAACCCGTGCTCAACTCGGGTCGACTGAGCACGTTTTTGTGATCAAGCAACTTTAAAAGAGGTCTTAAAAATTGTGTGCAATTGAATTGAACACGGTTTTTTAAATAGTCTGTTCGAAGCAAATCCCTGCTCATTTAGCGCGTTCATAAATGTTCGGAATAAATCGTGCGGGCAGAAGCAGATGGGAGCCGTCGCCGACGTGGAGGAAAAATAAAACGCAAGGTGTTAACAGAAACTTTAATTGCAAGTCGTCTCTTAATATAAAATTTTTCAAAACTATACCGAGTACTCTGAGAAGTCCAGTCCTGCTGAGAAAGGGTTATGTTATAGTTGACATCCATTTCAGTCATTATTTATAATTTCATTATAAATCTTGTTATAAATCTCTTGATATAAATTTTATTATAAAGCTACGCGGGGCTCCGACGACCGGGCTTCCCTCAGCTGCGCTACGGGAGAAAGTTGGATGTAGAAGGAGATGGCGAGTTCTATTCGCTTACTTCGCTCACTCACTCGATCCCGCCATCTTCTTCTAACCTAATCTGTCCGAATCGGGATGCCCTAAGTCCCGAGCTCGCTTCGTTCGATCTTACACTCAATAAAACACAGAAATCATATTGAGTTAATAATACTACCTACTACTATAGACTAATCCCGTCGCTGATTCAACATGCTTCTGAAGACGGACGGTCTAAGAGTCAAGTCAAAAAAGTGTTCAGTTCAACTGCACACTACTTTGTTAAACCTTTCTACCACGCCACTTGATCACAAAGGCGTGCTCAGTTGGCGCGAATTGAACACGTGCTAGTAGAATTCCGTAGTAATACAAAAGCGTGTGGATTTCGCGAGACCAGTGTCGCCAGTTGGACATGGAAAGGGAAATACGCATCTCCCATAGGAAAATAGTTGAAAACGTGTCCATCTGTAAGCAAGTTTTTGATCTGTTATTTATTGCTTACAGATGGGCACATTTTCAACTATTCTCCTATCGGAGATTGTCTTCCATACCTCTATACTCTGTGATCTAGTATATAATATACAGTAATCTAGGAGTTTTGGGGGGAACTTGGCCGTAGACAGATTGTTGCTCCTGTTTTGTAGCTTGAATAATGGTTTGAAGTGGATTTTGATTCGTAAAAGTGATGTGATTTTGTGAGTCAAGTGTCCGTGCGTGTGAACTATTTGAGAAAACGACGAAACAATTATTGCTTTGATGTCGGTATAAATCTTAAGTTATTTTGATCGCTTGGGCGCTCATGAACTTGAGTGGCTATCGTCATCAACTCTCCGCTGGGTTGAGCTGTTGTCAAAATCTCCCAAAGGCTTCGCAATGTGACGCATAAGCATATTGTGAAGAAAAGGAATATAAAATAAAGATTCCAAAAGAAATGATATGCGCAGAAAGGCTAGAATCCAGAGCCGCGAAGCCAGTTAATAATAAAAAACAGTAATCTATGGTGCAGCGTTGCCATTTACACGGCAATTGCCGTGTTACACGGTAATTTGAGTCTCTTTAGCAATAAAACGTGGTACACGGCAGCATCATAATTGCCGTGTTCTAAAACACAACAATCCAATGGTTACTAATTTTTTCAGAAAATTTTATCGGTAGTCGATAAGTCATTATAACGCACATCACTAGACTACACTATGCGTTGTCATCACTCTATGAGCGGGGTAATCCCGACGCGAGTTCGACATATAGTTGCCGGCACGAAAGGTGAACACAAATGAACTATGGTGGGGGTTAAGCCAGCGTAGGTACACTGTCGGCCAAAATTATTAGGTACTGTTGTTATTCCAATTCATAATTGAATATTTTCGCTGACTTTTATTCGAAATTCTGAGTCGTTAATTCCTTTAACTATACGACGTACAGTAGCTACGTAGAGATTAGTCGCCTTAGCAGTCTGTTTATAAACGTCTATCATGTTTTTCGCAATACCTAATTATTTCATGTAACAAAACAATAAATAGAACATTTGACGGGATTGTCTATTTAATACCGAATTCTTTCTTCTCTGCATATTTAGCCCAAAATCCGAACGCTCAAATTATAACAAAAAAAAAATTAAGAACAAGAAATATCAAAAACAGTTAAAAACAAGAAATACACAAACAAGATTTAACAACTAGGTAACACTACAATTAACAAAAGTAAACTAATTAAAAAGTTGTCACTAAAATTGCTCTCAAGTATACGGTAGTCGAATGATACGTGCGAACCCAATAGACGACCAGAATCGGCTGACGAACCAATCACGTTGAGCGTCAGCGTGGTCGACGTTACATCAACCAATAAAAAGTGTGCTCACGACTCGTGGCGACAATTGTACAATCGCAAACACTTCATTGTTTATGGTATTCATTTCATTCATTCGTTTTTTGAAAATTACATTAAAAAGATATACTGCTGTTTATTTACTTTATTTAACTTCACTAGCTAAACACTTTATCCGATCCCAAGGAAATTGTGTAAATTTCGAACCGACTAAACAAATGATAGACGGAATAGAAGGAAAATAATAAATATAAATTGAACAGTGACGAAGAAAGAAGTTTTGGATACGATAAGAAATTTGTATTATAACTGTGAAAAGTAATGTTTATATGTCATGTTTAATCTTGTTATAATTCAAAATAATGTGTTAATTCAAAATAAATAAAAATGTACACGGCAATTTTGTAGTTTTTATTCCAAAACACGGCAATCTAGTCCCCAAAACACGACACCTTAAAATTTTTAAATTGCAACCCTGCTATGGTGGTGACCATAGATAATACACATAATGGTGACCTTACTTGGTTTATAAATAAACATTTTTGTTTCAATAGATTTATTGAAAGCACCAGGTTTTAGATGTTACTAATAATATATACAACATGAATATGATATACAATTATAATTCTAATCCTATTTTAAATCGCTTAAATTAGACCAAGTGTTGACATTCTTAGCGTCGCTAAGTTTTTTGTGGTTCTAGATTACAAAATAAACTATGGCATCGATGGAGACTGTTAAAGTATCAATTGTGACTGACCGTACACCTAACATCGTCTCATGTTCTAGCAACTTTACAGCTGAGGAGTTGTGTATTCTTTTATGCAAAAAATATAACATACCTCCTCTTACACGTACTTTGTTTGCATTAAGAGTCAAAGGCACTGATTATTTCCTGAAAGATAACAGCCTGGTCCTTGCCAGCTCTCGAGATTATGAGTTGAGGATTCGCTTCAAGGTTAGAAACTTTTATTTATTATATTTCCTGTGAATCCATGAGTCTTTCTGTCACAATTTTTTAAATGAAGATACATAGCTGAAATTATTTTTATTTGTTTATATTTATTTACATTTAAGATATTCGTTTCCTTGAATTGATATTATTAGTTTTAACATTAAATATGTTTATTTTGGAGTATATGCAATTCACAATTACATTTAAATTTAAGTTTCCGACAATATTATGTATTTTATCACCAATAAACTGTAATTCCTCCGTAGGTTCCCAGACTAAGTCTTCTTATAACATTAGATGAGACAACTTATGATTATTATTTTCAACAAGCACGAAATGATGTAAATGAAAACAAAGTACCAGAAATAAAGTATCCCGAACATAAGCAAGAACTGCTTGGATTGGGTATTGCTGATATGTAAGTAATGTAACAGTTCTTATCAATATAGAAATTAATTAACAGGAGAAAGTAATTTTGCATGTTTATTTACATTCTCACACCGCCCATATAGCTAAGAATTCCTACAAAGTGAAGCCTGATATATTTGTGATAAAACAAGAATACTTTCTGATATAATAATTCAAGCAATTGTTCTTGTATAATGTTAAACATTATTTGCTTTTGAATGTCTCTTCCTTCCCTATTATATCTTATCAATAAAAAGTCAAAGGTTATATTAATAACTGATAAAGTTTTAGTGTGTATAGGTTTATATTTATAATTTTCCTTAAATAAGAATGATTATATATGTTTTTAAATATATTTATACATATTTTTTGCAATTACACTTTTAATAATTGAGATTACATGTAAAATGATATAGTATGTGCCAAATCGATTGAGGAAAACAGACAATGGCCTCAGATATGAGCCAAGTGTGAAAGGGGGTAACTTACAAAATCTCAATTTAGATGTGATAACAATATTTAAATATCGATATTATTCACACTTCTAGGTCAGCACATATGTTTTGTTTCTTAAATAATATTGTCTGTGGTTCCTATAAACATTGTAAAATCTTACGGTACATTGAGAAAAATGTGTTATATTTTATATTTCAATTTATGGTAAGTAACACAGCAATTCATTTAATAACAGTTTCATATTAAAAAAAATATTTCAAGCAATATATTCACCATATTGAGTCTTTGCAAATTCATCCCTTTAAAATAAACAAAACATGCATTATGTCAGTTTGTTCTAAAAAAAAGTGACACTGGCAGCCTGAGATGCATCACCATTTTTGGGCCGGTCTGCCATTTTATTTACGTTTGTGTTTGGATAGCGCTTGCGTGTGTACGTCTCAGGTAATTCATAGCATTCACTGCATTGTTTTAGTTGAGTTTTTACTGTTAAATTTGTTATATCGTTAAGTTTCTGTTGTTGAAACTGTTATATTAGTTTTACTGTGACGGTTGTTCCTATATCAACATGAGTTCAGGAGAATCTGGTGAAGGACCCGGTACTTCCTCGTCAAGTGGAAAGAGACGGCACCTGCCCATAATAAATGTAGCAGGTACGTACAAATAGGTAAAAATGCGACGACATAGCCTTACCATTTCTTAAAGCTTTCTTTTTAAGTGACCATGTGGTATTTATTTTCCAAAACAATATTCATTTATGTTGTGTAGTACTATGGTAGTATATTTTTGTCATTTATTTACAGGCCAATTTCTGGAGCACCCTTAACGTCACCAGTAAAAAAGAGAAAACCTACTACTTTATCGGTCGCGGAACAAGAGATTATCAGTAATGTATACAAATATGTTAAAAACACCTGGCTCGATGATGTGTATCCATCAAACGTCAAAATGGTAGAAAACGTTTCGAAGATCTCAGGAGTCAGTAAGAGCACTATATATCGCGTATTAAGCGTGTTTGGAGATTCCCATAAAATACCAGAAAAGGGAATAATTAATAAAAGAAAGAAGTCTGTAACTGACAAGTTGGACAATTTTGATAAATCAGCTATAAGACCGAAAGTGTATCAGTTCTTTCTTGCAGGAGAATTACCGACTTTAGACAAAATTTTGCTCAGTAGAAATCAAGATGACAAGTTGCCAAACTTGAGCAAAACTTCCCTGCGACGTGTGTTGCGCCATTTAAAATATATAAAGAGAAACAGAAAAAGTGGTCTAATAGATCGCCCAGAGATAGTTCTGTGGTGTACCAGATATTTGCGAGAAATACAAATATTAAGAAACAAGGGGCGTTACATTTTTTACCTTGACGAAACATGGATTAACGCAGGTCACATTATGGGAAAGGTATGGGAAGACACCACAATTGAGTCTTCTCGTCAAGCATGGTTGGAAGTCTACTTTACTGGCGCGAAAGCCCATTCGGGTAAAGGAAAGCGACTAATAGTTGTACACATTGGCAATGAAAATGGCTTTTTGGAGCGATGTGATTGGGTATTTGAATCATCATCTACTGGTGACTACCATGAAAGTATGGACGCTCTCCACTTCAAGGACTGGTTTAGAAAAGTAATAGAAAAACTGCAAAGCGGCAATGTCATAGTTATGAATAACGCTAGTTACCACTCCAGATGTTTAGAAAAAACCCCGACAATGTCTTGGCGGAAAAAAATATGCAGGAATGGCTAGAATCCAAACAGATCACATACGTGCCCTCAAACACAGAGACCTATTTAATGGAAAAAATAAAGGCAGTTAAAGATAACTACCAAAGTTACGTCACCGAGGAGATGGCAAAAGAGATAGGCATCACAGTGGTAAGGTTACCTCTTTATTACTGTGAGCTTAACCCTATTGAACTTGTGTGGGCAGATGTGAAAAGGTGTGTTGCACGAAAAAATAAAACTTTCAAGTTAACAGATGTTAAAAATTTACTTAAAGATGGTTTATTTAAAATCACGTCAGATAAATGGAATAACTGTGTTCAGCATTTCCTTAAGGTCGAATAAAAAATGCGTGGCATGGATGATAGAATTTACCTAACTGCAGATCGCTTTATAATTAATGTACAGACAGTTCATCTGAATACACATGTGAAGATACGAGTGATGATTGCACCGAATAAAAATAAAGTTCTTATATAATATTGAAAATAAAGTTTTATCTTTTGAATAAGTATGTACTTATTCAGTGTCATTATCACTCGAATCTTTATATGTGTTATAAACTTATAAATTAATGCTTTTTGTTGTTAAATGAATAAAGTACTTTATAACATTAGATGATTTTTCTTCTACAGCGATCTTTTACATAACTTTTTAATAATAGTTAATAAATATATATTATAGCAATGATTATAAAAAAAAAATAAAAAAAATCATTATAAATGAAGAAAGTACTACATATAAAATGTGCGTATATATTGAAGGTTTGTAACCCCTGGTCAAACGACCGAAAGGTCATTGTCCGTTTTTCTCATCGATTTGGCACATACATTAGTAATAGTTTTCGGCAGGTATGGGTATGTTGGTTGGTGAACTCTATAGCTTATGTATCCGCTTGTTTGTTTAATGTGCGTGGGGCGCGAGGTAGTAACTTGTTCATGTGGTTTCGAGTTTTCCATGCCAATGGTGTGCATACAATGAATCATCTGTTTAACAATCTGTAAACATCTTTGAGATCTAATAAGTTATGTTTTTTATTTAGTTTGATAATAGGCTGTACTATAAAATAAAAATAATAAGGTATGAATTGCAATAGTTTTAATTTTTGCCACAAGAGTGTGTTTATTTTAAAATATTGAGTGAACACTCATACTTTTAATTTATTGACCTAATGTGAATGATATACCCCATCAAATGGAACAAACAATAGAATAATTATATTTACAGCTTACATAATAGATCCTCCAAATGTTATAAAAATTTTTGAGTGCGTAAACTTTTCATAAGGTTTCAAAAAGAATTAGGATAGCTTTTTATATGTGGTAGAGCCACGCTGCAGCTATATTATGGTTGTAGCACTAATGGGTCGGCTCGACCAGGGAAGGACCACGCTCTCTCAATATCCGTGTAAAATAGAAGGTTAACGCTGCTGTATTTCGTATAGTGAGTGTAGAGAACCGGAGACCCTTTTTACTGGAAGTGAGGCATTACATATTAGTCGTCACGGATGATAACGCATCTGCATTTTGATTCATAATCGAGGATAGATGTAGATGTCTATGGGCCACAGCATCCACTTACCAGGTGGACTGTGTGTTCGTTTGTCACCCTATCCTATAAAAAAAGCTTCTACAAAAATATGTATATTTTTGGAAAGCCTATTTATTATAAATTAACTTGTGTAAAATATATTGTTAAATAAACACAAGTTCAAGGACATATCTACATAAATACCGACATTCAGCTTTGCACACAAAAAAGTACTTACATACATCTTGCAACCTCTTTTCGTAAAAAAGTAATGACCGTTTATTATGATTAAATTTCTTGTTGTCAAAATTTGCTCCTTTTTAAACAAGGTATTACACACAATGATTTCTAAAGGAAGGATAGGCCCATCTAAATATTTCACTCATAACTTTTTCATACAAAAAAGTAGCGCATCTGTCATAATACAAACGTCATATCAAAACACGACGTAACCAGGGTCGGATTTCGTAGTATAATTATCCTAATTGTATCATTATTTCGTAGTTTGTAGTATATGGTATAGTAATAAAACTAGGCGAAAATACCATAATTTTACCTAAAGGTTGACTTGTATTATTATTGGGTCCCTTTACATTTTAATATTAACTACGATATCGAGAATATCTGTATTGTACATCAGTACCGCGTCTTTTTAATAAAATTAGAATTAGCTCCCTTTCTGGTCAATCGATGCTCGATCGATGTATTTATGTTGCATTCTTGATACAACTATAATGAGGGGCTACCACTATAAAACCCTATGCTCCAGAAGCAAGCAGTTTGAAAACAGAATTACAAAATATTTTTTGAATCAGATTTTCAGATTCAATTAAGCAGATATGGTTTCTTTGTACTATTTTCGTTTTACCCTTATTGAATATAAAATATATTAGGTACCAATATTAAAAATATAACTTACACTAAGTTCTTTACACAAAAATTAAACAGAAATAAAAATAAAACAAATAGATAAATGGCAAAAAACGAAACATATAGATAAACTAGACGTGTGACCCCAAAATCCCGGTACATGGGAAAAAAGAAACATAAAACGTCAAACGTGATATAATTTTTATTAAAATAGTATATTTTTATTTTCCATGTACAATATTTTTGAGGGTCTGAATCCAACCCTGGACTAATCTTGGTACCGTAACTAAACTAACTGTATAATAAAACTTGAGAAATGCGTATATGTATATAATAATTTAATTATAACAAAATTAATATAAGGTTATTTACCGATGATACGATATCGAATGTTTTTTTAAAAATTTGTATCGTAATTTTTGCATTCTTTTAC